TTGGTCTTTCTCATCTCTTCAAGGATCATCATCTTAACGTCTGAATCATTAAGAAAAGACTTTCTCTTGCTATGAACGCCTTGACAATGGTCAGAAAGTTTGCGTTCCTGCAAAAATTCATTAGACCACTTGATAATTGTCATAGCCCGATAAGCGACGTTATTATCATGCCAAAACTGTTTTGCCGCACTGCGTGAAGCTTGGCCCTTGTTCATTCCTTCGAGTCTTCTGATAAAATAAGAGTTGATTGAAGAATAGCGAACAAAATTGTACGCCAAAACCTTACTATTTTTGTTTGACTTATTCATGATAGGCTTAAGTAAATCCTGCAGTTGTAAAAATACTTCGTTGATTTGGATCAATTCCTTTTGACTACGGCTTAAAACAACCTCATGCTGTGTAGCAGCAACGGCGACAGGTACAAAACCGAAATGGTTTAACTTAGAACGATCATCAATCATACTCGATTCATTTTTATTTCTCCATAATGTACTTCTTGAAGTACCAGTGTAAGTTTTAGGACGACTGGATTGTCCGGTGATATCGACAAGAATTTTATTTATAGAATTCTTAACAATCGAAGTATCATTATGGCTTTCAGCTAAAGAATGCAATTCATCGACGTTTGTTGTGTAATCAATAGATATTTCTTCCCAATCATTAACATCAACAGATCTGGTCATAAATACACCTTCTTCGTTTTTATTTTTATTAGCGTAAGCGCGTTTTCTCGCGTTCAGTGGGGGCATAATATAATAAAGTATACAGAGATAAGTGAAAAGAACTTTTGTGACGCTTTCTTAGAAATGTCAAAGTACTGATTGTTAATGAACATGTATGATTGGGTAACACGATAAATTTTTGAACGCGGAGATCAACTATAAGAAACTTTTATTCCATGCCTTTCTTTGACCTTCCTCGATATACATATACTCACCGCCTGGTTTTAAAAAATTGCTATAAAAAATTTAATTTATTGATGAATTAAAATTCGATGACAGAACAATTAATCCTTCATGATTTTATAATTGTAATCTGAAATAAAAACAGAAATAAAAGCTATATTGATAAGGTTGATAGCTTTGATAGAAATGACATTGGATTGCCCTCCAAATCTCGGGACTGTTTTCCCTCCTACAAAAATTTATAAGCGCCCTAACAACTCTGATAATAAACAGACATTTTTATAAAATAAATTTAAAATCGATGACAGAAGAACTACTCTTTAATACTTTTATTATTGTAATCTGAAATAAAAACAGAAAAAACATTTGTATTGATAAAGTTGATAGCTTCAATAGGATCGACATTGGGTAAGCCCTCCAACTGTCGGAACTTCATTGCCCCTCCCCCCACAGAAATTTATAAGCGCACTAATGAGTGATAAGAAACAGACATTTTTATAAATAAATTCAAAATCGATGACAGAAGAACTACTCTTTAATACTTTTATTATTGTAATCTGAAATAAAAACAAAAAAAAAAGTTGTATTGATAAAGTTGATAGCTTCAATAGGATCGACATTGGGTACGCCCTCCAACTGTCGGAACTCTATTTAGCATCCCACAGGAATTTATGAGCGCCCTAACAATTCTGATGGTAAATAGACTTTTTCATAAATAAATTAAAAATTCTTACAGAAAAAATGGTTGCCAACATTGCATCTAAAACTTAAAGCTATTGCGAAGTTATCAAAATTAAAACTGAAGAAGTTCATAGCTTTTTAAAAAAAAGTTACAGTTTTAGCCATTTCCTGCTGTTTTATTGGCTAAAATGATTGTCGGGTGTTAAAATTTACCTTATGTTCTTTTTGTTTGTTTCAAATGATGGGCCTCCCCTATACTCCCCCGCTTAAATATTTCAACACCGATAATGTTTGTTGGCTATCACTAAACATTTTTGATAACTAAAAATGTAAACTGTTTTCGTATTATTGTTTAAAAACATTGTTACAATTGTTCTTCTGTCAGCGATTTGTAGAAAAATGTTTTTTGGGGTATAAAAATGGATTTAAAAAAGTACAAAAAATTTATCAGGTTTAAGCTTGGTGGCACGTTATGCCATCTAGAACATGGGGTTTTGATAATAAACAAACAGTAATTAAGTTTCTTTCAATAGTGATATATTCAAGGAAGAATATACATGTTTTATTTATTCCATTGCACGTAATATACTGATTGAAAGTAAAAAGTACTTGTTAATTGTAAAAATGGACTATGCCATTGTGGATAATCCTGACTAAACGATTGTAATTGTGATTTTAATATTTAAAGAGTCACGGACTGTTTAATGAGCTCTTCCATGTTATACCAAAATGTTTGTCAGCATTCGGCATTACATAAAGCATTACGGAAGTAAACACAGATTTTTTTTATTATTGTAAATGCGAATATTCTTTGTTGCTTAGTTCATGTCATTCAATTTTAGCGCATTTCTTCTATGCTATGGTCCTTGAAGTCATGAAATTTTGGAGGAAGTAAACGTATCAAATGTACATTACATTCACGTCTATTGCGACTAATTTTAGGTATAATTGGCGTAATTAGCAGTTTCAAAACAAAGTACAATACGTGTAACACTAACATCGAAATTCCAACGAAGCAAGTGAGAAAGTCTTGCAGACCTGTCTCACAAATCAGAAATTGTCAAAACAAAAAAACTATTCAAGTATCGATTTTAGAATTTTTTTTTATTTTCCCTCTTTTTCTACTTCTTTTCATTATTATAACGTGGCTGAAGATACTGCTAAGGATAACATGTGAACCACTGCATTGCCAGCTCGTCCCGGTTCTGATGTGCTCACTAGGATGCTGTTCAATGATAACTACGTAAAGGATATCATAGTCAAGACCGTCATTCGGAAAGGTATCAGCGGAGATGCGCAGTATGTTGGCTCTGAAAAAGAGGCACCATGGGAGGAGGAATGATGTCGTCTATTATTAAAATAAGAAACGAGTCGGTAGTTAAACGGAAGCCTAGTGATTAGCTGGAGAGATTACGTAGTATTTAAATAAAGATGTTATTTAAATGGAATAACCTAGTTAACTAAGACTTATGATTAAGAAAATAAAAGATAATGTTTATTGAATAGAATTGGAGAGGATATTTATATGTTATGGATCATAACCGCAGTTACTGCGGTTATGCCGCGGTAGAAGAGATATTGTCAGGAACGAGGGAGGAAACGAGACAGGCAGGACAGGACAGAGAATGAATAGCTTCTTGAAGCAGGTTATTTATTTAAGAATAAAAGGGAAGAAAGAAAAGAGAAGATGATTATGAAATATATCTGATAAGGAAAACTGGGAGAAGTGAAATTTATCAGCTATATTTATAGAGAAAGAAAAACTAGAAATTAAATAAAAGAATAAGCAATGACAAAAGTTAATCATAGCTTATGTGGATCATGACAAAGGATTTAAAGAGCTGACAGATCAATGATAAATATTGAGTCTGAAAGCTGGCTACTCATATTGCATATTTGGGGCATAAGATGTAACAGGATCATGACAGATATTGACTGCGGAAGAAGTTACAATCGCCGATTACTGAATTGATGACATAACGGATTCATGACATTATCCTTTGGCAACATCTTCGGAATAGCTTTGTTCTGTTATTATTGAAATCCAAACGAATGTCACGAAGGAGTTTGTTTGGTATGTGGTACAGACACACTAGCATGAAACAGCCATTATACGTAGCTCAAAACTGTCGGGCGCGCATTTTTTCGATTTTTAAAAATTATGTTAATCGATGAGTTTTAGTGATAAAAATAAACCAAAAATACGGATAGATAGGGTAGACGTCAGACTATCGGAAACAATTGTAAACGCCCTGGTTAGAAATTGATTGAAAGAGTAAAATTGAAAAAAACGGTTAAAAGTGGCATTGTTGGTAGTGATACATTGTTGAGATGACAAATATAACCGGGTTTACTCAATTTGAAAATGATGTATTGAAGAGAGCGCGCAAAACAAATTATTGGTCGAGAAAGACGCGTTAAAACATGAGTGTTGTTAATACGGGTGGAATTTGAAAGGGAAGGTGGCGATATATTGTCGTGCGGAAAAAAAATTAATTTTTTAATCATTTTTGAACATTTTCATCATTCTTCTTTTTTTTTGAATCTTTTTTTTTGTCTTTTTCTCTTTTTCTTTTAAATGTTTGCAATAAAAACGAAGCTAACCAAACTATTCAAGATGTTCGAGAGGCAGAAAAAGGGGATGAAAGATAAAACAGAGGATAATACACGAGGATATAAGCTTGTTGTCTGAAAGTATAAGTTCAGATTATAAAGTCGTGATGTATGATTCAAAGTGAATATGCACCATGGACAAGTGGGCAAGAATATGTGCATTGAAATAAAACCTAATATAGACGGGATATCTTGGTGTGAATAGATGAAGAACAGCGTAGAGGGTATGGATGAAAGAAGAGTTGGTTGGCTAACGACGGTTTTTTCTGTGGGAAGAAGGACTGTATATGTTTGGTGTGTTGCCTGACAGTCGGTGTTGATGTCTTTACCATTAGATGGAGTAATCACGAACAGAGGATAAGCAACGACAAGTGGATGATGCGATTTGACTGGAATGAGAACCATTGAAAGTGCACTGACAGTAAGAGCGACACGATGAGATCACTAAATGAAAGTGTTGACAATAGTAGAACGACGTCAAGTACACTAGAGAGAATATACTTGTAGTAGCAGAAGTGCATCAAAAAGGGAAGACAGTCAGGATACGATGCCTTCAGAGTATAATCGCTTACATTTTGGGGTAACAAAAGTAACAATGCAGAGACGGAATAGTATGGAACGCAATAGAAATAAAGAAGAAATAACGTAAAAAAGAGAGTAGACTTATTTTGGTTTTTTGTTAATCTCCTTTTTGAAATTCTGGATGTGTGATTTGTGCGTTCTAGTGGATCTATATAATTTAGATGAAGATAAAAGTTGTCCGTTATCCTTTTCTTTTGTTTTTTTTGCGAACCAAGAATCATGGACTCAACTGATAAGCGAAACATTATCGATATTATTAATAAGGCTTTAGCCGTTAACCCTGGTCGTACTATAGACGACGTCCATAATATCATGGACAAAACAGGTCTACAAATGGCACAAATTTGCCATTACATTGTTTACTTGGGTGCGAATACTAATGTTGGCTTCGAGCGCAGCCCAAAGCCGATGCCGGTAAAAGACATGATTGACCCCAATCATTTTTTGGTGGACCCGGAATTTCGTTCCGCGTACCTGAAGAGATGGGGATTAGATAGCCAAACGGCTACTACCAGTATTACTTCTGGAGAGGTTCCAGCATTGACTGGTAAAGAATTTGGTGTTGCTGATCTTGAAGAGGATCATCATGATCAAGGACAGGATGTTATTGATCTTGTTGATTCTGATAGGGAAGGTAGTACAGAATCAATGATTATCATTAAGGATAACGAAGAGACAGCGGTGGATGTAGAGGATGTGATAGATGCTGTTTTGGTGGAAGGAAGACGATGAATGACCAGACGATTGGAAAAAAATAACTATGTCGGCGATTTGACAATATTATCGAATAGGGCCAACGAGTTGGACCAACTCACTCACCGTATTGGTACAGGTGAAGCATTTGACCAATTGTTAGAGTCAACAACCTTGAACGATTTTACTTTGGACTTGCGTGAAATGAAAAGAACAATTAGTACCAGGTCTCAATTGGGGTATTCTTTTAAAAACATTACCTTTCTGTATCATTACTTGCTAATTACGGAATACCATGTATTCAAGGGATTCGATGAATGGGAGTGCATGGAGATCATAGTGCTTAATGATGCTGATCCAGTAGGTTTTATGGATTGTAGAACGCGTGGTGAGCATGTGTTTCGTGTCTTTCAGTTGTTGGGAATGGCAGGTATTTTGGCTGTAGAAGTAATGACGGCCAAAGCATACTCCAGATACCACCGAAGTTTTGAAGAACAATGGAAGATGTTGATGAAACATCTGTTGGCGGTTCTCATGCGTTGGTTAAGTCTTCCTGTGATTAGGTGGATCTACCGAAATATCCAACAAAAACTTGTTGTTTTAAACCAAATACTTTCGGAGATAGATGTTGTGGGTAACATCAATGGGAAGATAATTTTGCAGACCTGTAGTTTGATTTAAGACTCCAGTAGCTTTTTTTTATTTTATCTTTTATATTTACACATTCTTTGGTTAATAAAATTATGTATTTCATCATTGTTGATTTACTTTATTCGAGTGTTCTAACCAATTGTTGCTACTCCTCGCCATAATCCCCGAGTCCGTCTCATACCAGATTCGCGTACTTGATTGTGATCATTCGGTAACTTTAATTAGCATACTCTAAAGTACCGGATGCGGACAAATAACGAGCCAGAGTTTCCGAAGTCCACCCTACATTTATTTGTCTACAATTGTAGACTACGCCTTGAAAATAAAGTTGTATGTCGTTCCTTGTTGTATAGTATATTCTGTTAAGTTTCGCTGGTTTATTGGGGCTATATTTTGGTAACTCCAGTTTGTTATCCGTCTAAGGGTGTTCTCAAGCAAAAAAAATTTGTGAACCCCTCTTTTTGTAAAATCTTGGAACCCCCCCAAATTAGGTATAGTGTATGACATCAGGGCAGATTTTTGTCAGATTACTATCCTCCTGTAACTTTTTTTCTTTTTATTATTTTTTTCCCATAAATTTATTATTATCTTTGCCAAAATGTCTACTTTCGAAGAATCACTCAATGAGTTTACAACTGTTTACGAAGAATCAATGACGCTCATTAACATGAATGTAGCCGCAATTCAGTGGTATATGGAACAACGTCAGTTGGAGATCAACTTGCTTCACGAAACTTTTCTTTTTTATTTTTCTTCAGTTTTTGATGTACCTTCCTTTTTTCATGCCTTACCCTTCCTATTAACTGGCACACGTTCAACTCGAGTTCGTCCAAACAACAATGGAACGTTTTCCAACTATCACTACTGGACAATCACGCACCCTTTTCTCGCTGACGATGACAATCCACGCACTAGTTTTCGAGCAATGTATCGCATGAATCTTAGCAGCTTCGAAAGACTTGTCAACGACCTCAGTCAGCATCCAGCATTTGATCTGCTAGCCCACAACAGCATCCCCGCATACATCCAGATTTCATGTGCTATATGGCGCTTAGCCAACTGTCATATTGGTTACAGAACTAGTAACATGGCTTTTGGTGTATCGCATGGTAGTTATATCAACTTTTTCCGAAGATTTTTGGTTGCAATCGAAGGGGTATACGGAGATCTGATCAACTGGCCCATGGATCAGCAAAGGGTTGAGGAAATTCAAACGGGTTTTGAATGGCCTCATGGTCAAGAAGAAGGGGCTATCCGTCGTTTGCCCAAAGCAATAGGAGCACTCGATGGTAAAAATGTTGTAATTGAGTGTCCTAGAGATCACCCAGAACATTGGCGTGATCGAAAGGGTAACTTTGCGATGAAACTGACAGCAATCTGTGACAACAAATGCCGTTTCACGTATATCCGTGTCGGTGACTCTGGTAATAGCGAAATATTCATAACATGTTGATTGCCTTACTGATATGTATTTATAGGTCGCACCCACGATGCAGGTGCTTTCAAGTGGACTGAAGTGTACACCCAGTTTTTACGACAGCCAGCAACATTTTTCCCTTTGGACGGTTACATTCTTGCAGGTTATTTATATACTGACTATAAAGTTAACATATAATTTACTTACACACCCTCTTTAGATTCTGCATATGCTCTCTGTCGTAATGTAATCGTTCCATATCCTTTGAGTGAAGTATCAGGCAATTCTGACGAGGCCGTTGCCAAACGCAAATTCAACAAGGTCCACTCTTCAGCAAGAATGACCATCGAAAGGGCTTTTGGAATACTCTCAGCTAGATGGAGGTTCATAAAAAAACACGTCTACATGAAGAAGATTAAAGATATATGCCAAGTCATTACTGCGGCTTGTATCTTACACAATTTCTGTATCAACATTGGGGATCCAGATTTTGAAATTGACGAGGGAATCGAGATGGATGAAGATGAAGAGGGGAATGGCGAAACAGCTCGAGAGTCTGTTCGTACAAGAAGAGATGAGTTGAACCGATGGTTTCAACCTAGACAATAAAGAGGTACCAAATGTAATTTAACATATGTATTAAAAAAAAGAATATCTTTATTGATTGGGTCTTTGTTGATGCATACGATTATGCAACTCGTTTAATCTATCACCGTTTCGTTCCAAAGCAGCTGTAGCTCGGTTTAAAGAAGCAATGATTGCTTCTCCCGTAGGATCTCTTCTTCCTAATCGTGAATCCATATACTCTCTGAACTCTCGAAATGTTCCATTACGAAGCTCGTGCTCTCTATCAACAATGCGATTAAGCATAGCTTCAGTGTCAGAGGTCGTGGTAGATGGTGTAGAGCCTACGTTTGATCTTGGACGACGAGGTGGCGCAGAAGAAGGATTGGTAGGTTGAGGGGCGGGAGAAGGATTGGGTGGTGAGGTCGTAGAAGGATTGACAGGAGGAGGAGGAGTACTGGCGACGTGATCGGGAGGGGGTGTTTCCACTCTTCTGCGAGAAGAAGGTGGTTGCGATTCCTGAGGAGGAGCAGGACGTTCATGTTCTGCAATAGGTACAGACGAAGATTCAGCTGGAGCTGTAGATGATCCTTGATTTCCACCATTAGTATTGTCAACGAACTGTCTGGAATGGGATGAGTACGTGTGTGGTGGCAAGATGGTGGGAAATTTCGTCAAGATCTCTTCCAGCTTATCATAGACAACATCAGGTTCGAAACCTGATTCACCTGTTGATTGACGTCTAGCAAACTCTTCCTTGAAATCTTTACCATACGCTTCCATTTTTTTTTTGCTCCTCTGATGGTCGACTTCTCAAATTCTGAAGGCGAGCCAGTTGATTATGTTCAATCGACATCTCCGTGTATTTCTCCCCCTTTTCGTGATCACTTTTGGTTTTTTCAAGAGAACTCAAATGTTTATTATAAATTTGAATTAACAAGCATTCTTCTGCTACACTCCAATTTGGACCTCTTGTTCTGTCGTCCTCAATAGGAGCACTGGAGGTGGAAGCAGTTGAACTGGAAGGGGCGTTGAAGTTGATGGTACCGAACATTGTTTATAAAGGTAAATTTAATATTATTTGCTAGTTTTGAATATCAAAAAATAAAGAAAAGAAAACAACAAAGTAAAAATTATTATGATCATACTGTCAACTAGTGGGGGCATTTTAGTATTTTTTGAATGATGAAAGCATTACATCAGAGGGGTTCGTAAATCCATTTTCGTAATTAAACCACCCCCTGATGGTGGTTTATCTTTTAAAATGGTTAGCAAGAATTTTCGACGTTTTTTGGCTGAGGAGTATGAAAATATAAGGTTATAATTGCCTTATGGAGGGGGTTCCAAGATTTTACAAAAAGAGGGGTTCACAAATTTTTTTTGCTTGAGAACACCCTAAATCATAAAAATCTGAGAATTCCCGTCCGTTATCCGTCAAAATCCCATACGTTTGCGTACTCTGGTCCGTTATCCCTCAAAATCCGTTGACTTTAGGGTACTCCGGTCCGTTATCCCTGAAAATCCGTTTACTTTAGGGTACTCCGGTCCGTTATCCCTGAAAATCCGTTAACTTTAAGGTACTCCGGTCCGTTATCCCTACAGATCCGATACTTAAGGGTTCCCTGATTACATTAAACCAATGACCAAAATACATTATAAGAAATTAGAAACGGTTCCGAAATGGTTCAAGCATTCTGAACTTGTATGGGGATTATCTGAGCTAATTTCACATATAAGATAAGTCGCAAACCATATCAGAACATCCTTAGTCGTGTGCTGAATTTCAAAAACGTATATACAGTGCCCTCAAAAGTATCGTAACCGTTTAAGGTTTTCGTATTTTGTGAAATGACATCACATACTGATTCACAGGGAAACTTTCCAAACATTTTTATTTTTCTGTTTTTTGTTATTATTAAGTTATGGATCCGGTTAACAGCGTTTCATAGGAAATATATAAGATATTATCACTCTTATAAGATGTTAAACCCTTTTTTTCCATAACCTTTACTGAAACATTTTTATTTAAAACATGTTACCCATTTTGAGTGTACCACATTTTTGTTTAGTTCAATGCTGCTCTAATGGTATCACTGCTTTGAAGACTGGTTCCAGTATTGGTGTATTTAACAGAGCTATAAACAAAACTAATCATGATAACTCGTTCAATTAGCGGGCCTGTGAGGAGTGGATCGAGGCAAGAGGAGAACAGAATAATTATTATGGGGAGGACAAAAGAAACAGACATTATATATCTATAAGTATTCATACTTATAAAATGGATGAGAGTAGAAAACGTTTAATTGAAAGAAAAAAAAATAGATAAGATCTTGAATACAAAAATATGAACAAATAAACATGATTACAGTAACAGAGGAGTGTGTGGTGACCTAGCAAGGATATAGCCATATTAGAGCTAACAAAGGTTTATCCATGCTGATAACATTTGTGATATAAGCTTTACAATAAATGTTACAGTATGAATTATAAGGATGTTACATCACAAGTCTTACTTAGTACGTCTGAGAAATTTTTAAAATTTAGTTTAAAGCAAAGAGAGTTAAGATGACTTAACATATATTGGAACAAGACTAAATTAGTGACTATGTAATAATCGTATACATTTTTGGTTAATCTATGAAAAATTCAAGATAGCACTGGAGATATGAACACAGAAGACAGTCTTTTATATAAATACTGGTATATTTCATTTATTATTAAAAGACAATATTATAATCAGTCTCAAACTACTCCGATAGTCTTTTTATAATTTTACTTTTCCTTAAAACACAACATTTACTAAGCAGTACGATACATGTTTGAAGCTGTGTATTCCAAGTATATATTCATATATTCGAAAGGGTAATCAGGAATTGACAAAGTAGTGGTAACACAATACAAACCCAAAAAGCCGTCAATCGTACATTTCTTGAACATGGAAAGAAGTGAAATATACTTGAAATACGGATCCAGCAAAGGGAAAATTAATCGATGACGTATTCAAGATAATTCCTTACTATAAAACCAAGAAAATAACAATATCAACAAA